ATTAATGTACAATTTCATTAAACAATAAACAAGAAGCAGTTTATTGACTAGCTAGATTTTGTATTGATCAATTGATGACTTTTGATTTATCCAAAAGGTTCTTTATTTATATAAAACATTTTATGATAAGAATATTACAAGATAAGATATGTTATACATGTAGGATAAATATGATATAGTAGATAAATGCGCTAAGTTTGATATGTTTGACATCTCTGATATCTCTGCTATCTCTGCTATCTCTGTTGTCTCTACTCTATCACATGACTGAAATTAAGAATTTAAGGAATTAAGAATAATTTCAGGTTATAACAACGTTGAGATCGAATAATCATAAAATACCATCATTAGATATTAGTTGAATACTTACGTTACAATATTATCCACAAGGAGCCTGATCGTAACAGCACTATAAAAGTTATTAAATTATTTGAACACATTGTGACAAAATCTAATAAACATTATATAAATAAAGGAATTATTATTATAATTTATAAATCTATCTTTGAGATTGTATTGTTAATAATATATTACTTATAAACTCATCTTTGATATTGTATTGCTAATAATATATTATTTATCTTTGATCTCATATTATTAATAATACAAATATTATAATCTTTATAACTTTGACTCTGAGATTTTGAGAACTCTTTTTAGTAGTTCAGATTATTATATTAAAAGAATATAACTTTTACCAATTTTTAAATGATTTTGTCACTAGTACTTTTAGTACTTATTTACATTCAGTCTAATAATTATAAAGTATTTTAAATTATCATTAAGATATTGGAAGTTTCTCTTTGAATATTTCTTAAAGTTTTATAAATATCTTTGAGTATTTTAAAAGTTAATCAAAACAGTAGCAATATTAAGTTCAAAAACTAAACTAAGTCATGCAATTTTATAAACTAATAAATAATAATAATTTTAAATAATAAATATATAGAATTAAAATTAATCAAACAAAAATATTTAGAAACAATTTTTTGATTAATTTTCATTATAAAATATCATTTGTTAATAGGAGTAATTTTAAATAAAATAATATAGGAGCTCAGTAGAAGAATAATATATATTAACAAATTACTGATTAATATTAATTATAATTGTATTATTCAAATTGAAATTAGTTTTTAACAATATTCAATTGAAAACTGATTGCTAACTATATTTATTAACAATTGATTATTAATATCTTTACTAATTAGTATCAATCATAATTGCAAATAATTACAAATTATTTTTGTTGATAATTAATTATCAATTATATCTATTGATAATTAATTATTAACACTCTCATCCTAATTAATATCAATAATGATTGCAAATAATTGCAAACAATTCTTGTTAACAATTAATTAGCTATTTTATTCATTAACAATTAATTATTAATACTCTTATTAATTAGTATCAATTATGATTGCAATCAATTGCAAATAAACTTATTAATAATTAATTGCTAACTATTTCTATTAGTAATTGATTATTAATATATCATCATTGTTCATTGCTAGTGATTGTAATCAATTACTAATAATATTCTTTGATTTTAATTAATTATAATTGCTGATAATCAATTAAAATTTCTATTGATAATGAATGATAGAAATTGATTATTAATGAACATGATTATAAATTAATTATCAACAGATATAGAAATTTCCTAATGTAAATAGTCATAACATTTATTAGTAATAATGAAAGTTTATTTAATAAATAGAGAAAAATATACTGTATAATAATCCTGAAGTAAATGAAATATAATGAAATCAAGTAATCATAAAAGAATTATTATTAAATATTTATATTTATCCAGAATCTGATCATAACATCTTAATTATTAAAAAGTTTGAACTGCATAGGATTAGGACTGCAATCATATGAGTGAACTTATTTTGAAATATGCACATTTTCAGATTCTCATTGTGAATAAATTTTGTTGTATAAAAAAGCCACGTTTTGTAAGGATTTTTTTAAAGACTGTCTTTATATTATAACATATAGAATAATTAAAAGAAAATCTAGAACAATCAGATCATTATTCTTTATCTTTTATAATATGATTATTAATCATCCAAATTTGATATATTCCCTGACTGTAATATAATATTATGTGATATTATATATAAAAGTTCATTATACAACACTGTACTTTATTTCCCTTGTTTTGGGCAAAGAAAATAATCTATCCGTAATGTTATTTACTTTGAATCGCGTACGAATTAAATTTTATTCTTTAGATACAATCCTACACTTTCAATATATATACATTTACGTACGTACAACATAAAGAATATAAATTACATAATTTGAAGAGAAATCTAATAGTAACGTCTATATAATAAAAATAATCTAAAGGTGGAATACTACGAGTTAAAAGAAAAGGATAATTTTTTTCTATAGATAATGATAATAGCTAATCAAGACAGCCCGTCTTCAATTAGAATCATCTTATCTCTCCTGTGAATATCCATCGAAATCTTTAACAAAGAAGGGGTTATTTCCAGTATCGAAATAAAGGCTTTGATCTCGATTTAATTGTTGCAGAGATGAAGTGGTGGTTCTAGTAGCAGAATTTTGGTATAATTATAAAAAATTGTAGAATGGCACTTAAGATCCCCTTATTCACTAACCTTTCCGTTGTTGATGATGATGACATATTGACTTGTTTCGGCCAACCCCATATTTGTTTAGAACGATTTAGAAAGTCAGTTCCTGGATAGAATGGTTGAAAGGCTCCGTACAGAAAAGATGATGGTGATTGAGGATTTGGAAGCAAGTAAGAATTGAAAGAAGGTGCAGATGAAGTGCTTGACGATTGTGCTATTAACAAATTAAAGTACATGAGTAAATATCATTTACTTCATTTATAAAATAAAAAAAAACACTTACGTGCATCTCTATAAAGTGTTGGTTTAATCTCGTGATCATCTCGGAAAGGATCAAACACTCCATTATATTTCGGGATGTATTCACGTGGAGGTGATTTGTATTTCGGAGATGATTGAAAAATTTTATTACTCGAAGGCATAAAAGTCGTTGATGACGAATTCACGTTTTCCTATAAAAATTCGGTTTTAATTTTTATTCGAAAAATCAAGATAAAATCAAGCACAAATTTTAATTGATGCCATACTAATGTATTGTCAGGAATCTGCGCTTCTTTTTCTTCGTCTTCTTTCCTAAGAGGAGTCAAACGATCATGAAGGTCTGTAGGAATTTCTAATCCAGTTACTTGAACAATCATCAATTTTTGTCGTTCAGTAAAGACGGGTGTTAGGATTCCGGCACGTAACTATTTTATTTGATATATTTAATAAATAATTGTCTGTCAATGATAAAAATCACACCAGGAAAAATTATTACCATACGCTCGAGCAATGTTTCTTCGATTCGATGGTACTCCTTACTTAAATGAATCTTGAGCGATTCTATCGCGACTTAATCAGAAAAAAAGATAATTATCATATAAGAGTTGAAAATAAATAAAAAAATTTGATAATAGATATTATAGTGAAAATTTCTTACGTTTTAGCATTTCAAACAAAAGATCGCGCTGTAGAGTAGTGTAAAGATCACTTTGATGAAAAGGGAACTATGGAAGATTTTTTTAAGAGTCGATCAAAATTTACTTTTATATTAACATATGCAGTGGTTCAAGATACCTTCACTAGAACGCTTATAATATTTTCGAATGGACGCTCTGCGCATTTACGGGAGAAATGAAGCTAAACATAGATTACAATTAGAAATCTTTGAATAATACTTTAGACCTAAATTTCGCAAATAATACAAAGTTTACCTTATAATTTCGACAAACCACTAATAAAGAATTCATCTCTTCTCTCGTGACGAAAGGAATAGTCGACACAGGCTTGTTTGCTCCCTTTTCCCTCACCTCGGCAGTGACCACTGCATTACATCCGTAAAAGCTTCCTTTCCATTTCGGGAAAACAGCTTTCATTAATTCTTCTTGAGAAGATCGCGTGCACGAAATAAGCCGTCCTTTCATAGGTTTCATATTGCGCATATCTACTGCTCGATCAGTATCAGCAGACGTGACAAACTCGACAAAGGCTTCAGATAAAGTTTTTCCGGTATTCCTATCAGCAATAGAATGTATGTGTTTAGTAAAAACATTTAGAATAATATAATATCAGAATCAAAAGAAACGTCTCAAGCATTCATTATTTACCGATCCATTATTATGTGAATGGACTGTGCATATTTCGAAGGATCGGGCAATTGGAATGCTGAGAAAAAGTTCTTGATGTCCTTTGCTGAAACATCCCAGGGTATCTTTTATTATTAAGCAAGAATTAATCTTTAGTATTATTGATTAATTCTCACATTAATTTGACGTAGATCATAGAAAAATGAGCACATTGTTAATTTTCACAACTGGCCAATTGAAAGGCGTTGCAGATTTGCTTAATTCCATAAATGCGATTTGTTGCGGCCTATTATTCACTAATGTTTGATTAGAACGAGGAATAAGCGGCGGTGTATAGCCAGGAAAAGCCCAAGAAATCGGGCGCGTTGTATCTTCTTCAAGGCGATTTAATACAGTTTGAGTTTTTTCATCTGAATTCGGAGGTGTTGGATAAGAATTATTATTGGATTCCGGGTGATTAGAATTTGATTCTTGTTGTTGTACTGTCCGTCGCGAAGTATCTTGTTGCTGTTGTTGTTTGTATACGTTTTGCAATTCTTCTGATTTAGATGGTGTCCGATTAATCTTGCTCATTCTTGAATCACTTTGAGATAATTTTTTGAATTCCGTGATTGTCTTTATTATTGTAATATAGATAGAATATTTAATCATTGACTAAATGCATAACACTTGTAAATTAGTATGATTACCGCTTCACAAATCGGGCATTCGGAATGAGTCTTTGAAGAACTTTTGACAGTGTTCGAACGCAATATGTGGACACAAGATTCGCACATCCTTTTCCATGAATAAATAGACAGATAAATAAGTAAACATAATTAATTAATTTTATCACACTTGAGTCGTCATATTAATAAAGTTCTATTCATTGATTCATTGGCTACCTATGTTCACAGGGAATCAAGCGAACGTTTCCGTTGTCGCATAAACAGCAGATTGAGGTCGGCTTTTTAATCACATTTTGGGGTTGAGTCGGGACGCGATATGTAGAAGGATTAACAGGTGTGGAGTGCACCACTTTCGATGACGATTGATTTAATTCGTTTGACCGAAATGAGAAATAACGATCATAAGGATTAACAATTGAAGAGCTCGTAGCAATATTGTTGTTTTGAGATACTTGTCTTTCGTTGATCTGTTTGTTTTTTTTTTGATAATATTAATTATCTATTATGAAAATCGACTATGATAAATAGTGATCAAGTAGCGTTGAATAAAAAACCTTTGGTTTTGTGATGTCATAATTTTCAATCTTCACTTTCGCATTCTGGTTATCGTAAAAATAATCGCTATAAGAAATTTCGGATCCAAATAGTGAGTTGGAACTTCTGGCTGTTGTAGTTGCATTCGAATGCTCAAATCCAGAATAAACATCAGTGGTAGCATCACCGCCATATCGTGTATTTACTACGTTGTTATTGCTATTAGTATTTGTGCTTCTAGATGGTCCTAGACGTAAAATATTCGCGGTTTGGGCTGAAAGTGCAGGTTTATCGGAGATTATAATATCATCACTTTTGTTTTTGTTCACATTGTCTTTATCCTTTTTCATACTAGCATTGCCTGCAAGTGCAACTATATAATAGTTTTTTATAATTTAAAGAATTCGACGGTTTTTAGTATTTTGAATTCGGGATTGCTTTTATTCCCAAACCAGGCAAAGATACTTTTAAATTTAATATACCTTCGACTAGTCTTTCACATACTTCTTCGACGGAAGGTTTTGTAGTCCTTTTAACGTTTTCCTTTACTTCTGAAGTCATGTGGGAGCTGGTTTTACTGTCTTGAAGATGTCTGTTGAGAGTGTCTTCCTTAAGAGACATTGAGAAAAAGAGTGAATTTTCCTCTCTTTAAATAAATAATGATTATTGTTAGTATTTACTATTTGTGATATAAAAGAAAATGCAAACATATACATTGAAATGTCAAGACAAACTTTACCTTTTAGGCTTTAAATAGAATAGTTGAATGAGTAACTTCGCAAATACAGTCCGGTTGAAGGAATGTGAGTGATAAGTTAGATATAAAGCACAAAGACTCCCTTGAGCCTTATATGTGATTTGTTTGTACAGCCGCTTTATTTGTCTGAGAGCCGGAAGCGTTTATGACTAAGAGAGAAAGTTTGAAAGTTTTTTTGAAACCAGGATGGAAATTGAAGGATCTTCTTCCAAATCTTTCCAAGAATAAAACGCGTTCTTAAATGTAGAATTTTGGTGATGACGTCACGAGTTTTTGACGCGTTCGCGTCAGTTACCCTCAATTTAGGTTTCATTTTTGATACATGCCATATTAAAGTCACATTTTTTCTAATGCCCAGAATTTTTCGTGCCATTTTATGGTGGCTATATTTTTACTCGATATATAAATGCAATATACAATTTATACCTGATGGAAAATGCTATTGAGATAAAAGATAAACGTGACTTTGGCGCAGATGTAACTATTTCAAAGAATAAAAATATACATATACATATACACTCGATGATTTCATGACTATTTAAACTACTAAAACAATTATACATTAAAAAATTATTTAATTTAAAAATAAATAAATAAATATGCATTTTCATATACATTCTTGTTCATACACAGGATGCTCAATAGTATTTGATACCACTCTGGCATTTTCTAAGCCACAATCACTACCACTGCTATTACGTCGATTGAAAAAGTTTCTCAAACTCAAAGATCTCGATCGAGGTTTTAATCTACTTTCTGATCCACAATCACTACCAGTATTATCACATCGATTGAAAAAATTTCGAGCTCGAATTCTATTCAAGTTACCCTCCGATTTGGTATTGACATTTGATTGATGTTTATGTGAGAAAATATTATCCCTCTCACCCAATGGAAAATATCCTAAATCCGTGAACGTCAAGTGGTTTCCAAAAGGAAGGTAACAAGCGTCATAAGTATACCGATTTTCCCCTGTTTCCGCGATTATTGATGCCAGGCCACCACCGAAATTATTATTTGAGGATTCAAGCGATCTTGCTGTAGCCAGCGAAATATCATTGTATAGTTCTACATCTGCGTTTATTATATTTGAAGTGAATCGACAGAATGACATCCAAACTGCGGAAAGAATCGACGGAACTTCATTTTGTGTTGGTTGTGTCGATTGTTGTTGTGTTGTTTCACCTGGGCTGAATTTCGAATCAGAATTAAACTATCTGTAATTCATTTAAAATGAAATGAAATGGTTAAATGAAACATACAAGTACCTGTTGAGACTATTAGTTGAATTTGATCGTTCACTTTCATTCTTATTGGTGAGAATTTCGTTAAAAGTTCCTTTGTCTATTGTCGGCAAAAAATTGATTGACAAGGCCTCCCTTGAATTCATAATGTTGTTTGCCAGCCGAGATATATTGGGAGAATTATGTTCTGAATATCGAGTGTCATGATGCTCGTGATTCCGCCCCGAAGGAACAGAAACAGAAAGATCGAATAGTGGGGTAAAAGATGGCCGACGTGAATTTGCATAATTCAAAGAATTCCCTCTACTACTTGAAGCGTTGTTATTGGTTGTAGTAATAATAGTAGATTTGGCAGATGATGACGCGGCAGCTGATGATGAAATTGGTTCGGTTTTCGGAAAATTGTTCCAAGAAGTTCTATCTTGACACGCCAGATTTGGATCTTCCAGCACGCGCAGAGTGAGTGTAGTTAATTCATTTTTGAAAATTCCCGACCTTCTACTACTATTGTCTTTTGATTGCTCATTGGAACCTACTGATTCACGTCGTTTTGAGTTTATTTTTCCATGGAGTGAATTAGGCATACTTGAATTCGGATGAGAAATTGATACATTAGATTCTGTGGGATTAGAAAAATCCCCCGTTCCGTCATGTGAAGGCATAAGACGCGTAAAACGTATCGGAGTCGGGGACCTTTGAACAATATCATGGCTCTCGTTCACGACTACTTCTACTTCGGAATTAAACCCACTACCACTACTTGAAACATCAGATATTCCCTCAAGAACTGAAGAGTTTTCGTCAACGGGGCTTGTTTCGTCGCTCAACATGTGCCACTCGTCATCTTCACTGACAGTGTTTGTAGTATTATTACGAGACAGTTGAACAGGACGCGGCTCTCTTTTCGCAGTTCTGGCTCCAAAAACAAACCATTCTGAAGCAGAGTTTTCTTCAGAGTCACTAGACGCGAGGTGCCTTTGAATTCTAATTGGATTTTGTTTGTAGGTAGCCATAAAAATTCCCTAGTGGCGTATAAAGGTTATAATAGGTGTTTTTAAACAGTTCAAATATTTTATTTTTATTTTTAATTTTATTTTTATTTTTATTTTTTGAACAAGTACTTATTCTATATGATACAACTTTGATACAGGATGTCACGCATACATCCTGAGTCAAAAAAGGTGGTCAGAAGCCATCAGTATATCTGCAAATCAGCCATATCAGTGGGGGTCAGACAATACAATTTTCTCGTGCCAATTATTACGAATGCATTACGATCTATCGTTATTTTCTACTGTATTACATACACATTTAGCATGCGAAACTGAATCTGTGATACCATTGTTGAGCATTGTCATGTAATTTAGCATAATTGCGTGCTTCGGGTCGTGGTTGATCTTGATTGGATTAGAAATCGAGAAATCGAGAAGTTTGATGTTGTCATAAAACTATAAAGAGGGAGCTTTTCATAATCAATTTTAATTCGATAACAATTATCGAATAAATATGGTAATAGCTCATTTTCGCGAAATGAAATAATGAAACATCGTAAAGTCCGGCACATAGTACCCAGGATCGCTTGTGAGATGAAGTATTCTATAAAGGGTGGAAACAGTTACATTTATAAAAATACGTCATTTGCACTGTATATCATTTTAGCTCTGAAACAACCAGAATTGTGTCAAATCAACCTAACTAAATCTAAATTAACACGGAATTACTAATTTTCTGATTGGACGCAGGTAAATCCTATTACTAATTGATAAAATTGATTATGTCATATATAGTATAAAAAAAAATACGGGGAAAAGTGTCGGGAAAGCAATTTTACATATAATCTTGGCTCCAGATCTAGCTCTAACCCTAATCCTAACCTTTAAATTAATAACCTCTATTACATGGCTAGGGGACTGTCTAGTATATAATAGTACGTAAGAAATCTGTGCCAGGTTTTGTTGATCTCGGAAAAAATTCTACTGTAATAAGAAGGTGGTTTTAGAATTAGGGTTAGGGTTAGAGTTAGAGCTAGATCTGGAGCCAAGATTATATGTAAAATTGCTTTCCCGACACTTTAATTAGTACTCCAAGCTAGATTTAGGCATTTCTCGTATTTTTCCTTTACTTGTGTTGGATTCCTGACAAAACCTGGCACAGATTTCTGATGTGCACATGTAATAAACTACCCCTGTAATATTAATATTAATTCCTTATTACTCCCCTTCTAATATGTACTCCTCTTTGGATGAACAAGATGAGAATTATTATCCTTTACCAGAATTAACTAATTTAGTCAATGAACAAGGTCAAATAATGAGTTAGAATGGAGGATCAAGATTATATGTAAAATTGTCTCCCCCTTATTAGTTTATGCAATATTACGTGATCAATTTCATCCAATTAGCAATGGATTTACCTGTGTCCAATGAATCCACCAGGGCGACCCCCGAAAGTTCGGGCCACGTGATAATTCTTTGATGACGTCAACGATGCGAAAAGGG